TGGTAACAGTAACGCCTCTAGGATTGATTATTAACTTTTTTTTATTTTTTTAGTCTTTACAATAGGTACCTTTCTTTTAACAACAGAATCATTAAAAACGTGATTATGATTGTGCTTACCCGTGTTTGGCTCGGTAGCACGCCCGAGTTCCGTCTTGGTAATGATGACATTTGCTTATTTTTTTTGTAGGAACGCTTCCCCATCACTAAAGGAAACGATTTCCGCTCCAAAAGTTTCAGCGGGTCGAAGAGCATAAAGATTCGCTAGTACAGAATAGGGTGAGATGTTTGTTTCATTAAGTTATTTGTTTAGCTTCAGGAAATTTTTATACTAAAAGAGAATGAGCATATCGACATGTTATTTTTCGCATAACAAGAGCAAGACATCTTTTTCAATTGGAATTGGATTATTTCGAATTCAGTTCGTAATAGCACACTCTGAATACATAATGTAAAAAATAAAAAAATTCTAATTTTAAATAAAATATTGCCAGTTCGCGATAAAGTTTCGTATTAAAAATTTTGTGACATGGTATTTCGCGACTCAGTGATAAAAAAAGAATTACTTCACCAGAGCAAAATCCTTGGAATATTACGATCTATGAGAATTAGCTATAAACTCGTAGAAACCCTGAAGGAATCGAGATTACACCTTTTATCTTAGTAATAGCAACCACTGATGAAGGAAGTGCACTCAAGTCAGAACCAAGTCTTATTTAACGCAGAGTCAAGACTTGGAGAAACTCTTCACGATCCTCTCATGAATCAATACAGTAAATTTATTTAATATCGATTTTACACGCTTGTTTATCGTTATCCGCTGCGTTAAGACGTATATAATGACGTTGACAAAACAATCCAACACAAAAAGTGAAAATGAAAAATACGGAAAACGAATGCTTAAATATAGCTTGGCGCATTAATAAAAAATGACGAGAAGACAATTTTACTTATTACTTTCAAGCCTAACTCGGACCCTTACATTGAACTCAAAATCAATCTTAAAGCTTATTTCGAATTTTGCCAGGATCGGTGTAATCTCCAAGTTATGCAGGTGACGTAACTAGTCATTCCCAGAACCGGAGTATTATTCTGCCGTTGTACTGTAGATAGTCATCGCTGCTCTCAGAGCTGTTGAACTTCTGGATGACGGAACTAGTCCGATGTAAATGTATAACGATTCGTTTGTTTTACTATATCGATATTCATGACTATAGTAACTGTACGACAAAAAAATGCTACCGCTCTGAATGTTTCAAATATCATAAACGAATTTATATATTTGAATCTTCTAATAACGAAATTAATTAAGATCAGTTATTCGAATGGACTCCTTTTGAAAGATTTACCAGCGCTGAATATCTTGCAAAAGGAGGTTTTGAGACAATCTATAAAGCAACCTGGAAACTGTGATCATGAAGAAATAAACTCCAACAAAGTATAGAAACTGAAGTTGCGTTGAAATCATTACAAATTATTCCAGAGTTTATAAACGAGGTAAAAAAAATGAACATTTTCTAAAGTGAAAATTTTTTTATGTTCCTAAAACAATCAAGTTTTTAAAAATAAATTCAGATTGCAGTAAAATATTTTTTCGTTTTGTTTAAGATATATCGATATTAATCCGGTTTATTGGATTTCAAAGAAGGACGGATTTAACAGGTTTGTGGAAGTTTATTTGGTGTCTGAGGATTTCTTTACTAATTTTTAAGGTATTGTGCCAGTGACTGTAGATGGTAAAGGTGAGTGTTTTTGTTTATTTAAAGAATGATGGGAAAAGGGGAAGGTGATTACATGATAATTTTAACTATAGATTTCTTAAGTTTTACGGGTCAAAGTTCAGAGTCACCAGATGTATGATTGGACAGAATCTCTTTACGGCTAGACTCTTCTACGAAGGGGAACACAACAATAACGACTTCTTCTGGTAAAAGCGACAAGACCCGAATTTCAATAATACAAGCAAGAGGTAATACTGTTCAATTACTTTGTACTGTACTTTATTATAGCTTGATTTCAGTCTATGTTTCAGAAAACTGGGTAAAGAGCTATACTAGAAACTATTCTATTATTACGAAGTCCAAATGGTTAAATTACTGTACCGGGCTGGACCATAGAGAGTTAGAGAACGGGAATTTACAGCGCGTGCCACAAATCTGCATGAATCGATCCATCCTGAATAAATTGCTGAGTTTCAATTATACTGATGAGAGAAGACTAGCGTTATTAATGTGCCATTCAGCCGATACAAGTAGTGGTGAAATGTTATAGGAGGACTTGATTAAATTGTATTCCAGTATGCAGATTGAACAAGACTTCAGACTTAACATTGTTTCTATTATGCTCCTGACTCTAACAAACGGATCACTTCGATTACTAAAAACCTAACCTCATTTCAAAGTTTCCTCAGCTTCATTGATGGTTTTCAAAGAGCATCACGTTCCATTTTATAATTTATGAGGATTACAGGTAATGATGATATCACATGTCTTGTCTCTTTCCTATATAAATTGTTATAACCTGTTTAGTGGCCATGCTATGTTTTAAACACTTATTTTTCCGTGTCAATAAACTTACCCCCTGAAAGCCGAGTTTTTCATGTGATCGTGTTTGCATTTTACAAAATAGTCAACGAATTTATTAAATTGTACGAACATCTATGTTCAAACATACCGAAAACTTTCTTGGTAAAACAGGGCAATTCTCAGGTTTCACGTGATCTTTATTTTATTTTGAATATATATGCGTTAAAAAAAAAGTAAACCTAATTTTATTACATATATAATGGATCTGGAACGAAACCCGACAAACACAATTACAACAATTCATATCCCAACAAACGAACGACGTCCCAAATGGTATAAACGCATTTTATATGCAATCAGTGTTTAGTCACAATACACATATTGTTATCCAATATTTGGTAGTAGAGATTTGATCACGAAGCTTTCTTGCGATTGTCAACAGCACCATTACGAGCGAAATATTATAAAGTCAACTGAACAATTTACCGTTGAAGAAATATAAAATCAACATTCACAATCTTTTTGTATTTCTACTGTATGCATAAGAAAATTTACGTTGGAATGATCTCCATGCAATTTAGCAAAGCAAAATTAAATCAAAAGTTTCAGATTTTCACTCAGAGGGATAAATTGTAAAACAATGCAGTTATCACATATGGGCCGAGTGCAATAGAAACAGTGTAAATTATGTTAGAATTTCAATACAGTTTACACTGTTTCTATTGCATTCGGCCCAATAATAATATATTTCATGTATTTCCATTCGACGTGACCTCATGTCTCGAATAATACGAATAAAGTCTTTGGATTAAACGAACAAAATCTGAAAGATCATGCAGTGCATGTAAATGTATTTATATCCTTTTTCCCTGAAATTCACATGCATAAATTACATAATTATTCTTTAAACGATACATGAAATTTTCAGTAAATTTTCTCACATCACTAAGTCTCGGTGATTGGATAACTATTCCATTCGTTACTATAATCCTTTATATTTCAATTTTCTATTATGAATACTATACCCGTGATAATCCTCTTCCAGGTCCCATTTCCATTACTAATTGTCGGTAATCTATATTAAAAATCCAATAGCTAAATTGATTTACGATTTAGCTAAAATCCATGGTGAAATTTTCGAAATCAGGGTCGGTTTACAACGTCAGATAGTACTGAGCAGTGCAGAATTAATTGAACAACTTAATGTTCCATCCGCAAATGGTAATTTCATTATTCGTTATGCGTATCATGAAGGTTTGGAAGCATGGGGAACTGATACCGGGATTACATTTAATCAAGTTGGCGATTTAATCGAAAGTATTTTGATTATGCGGTGACGAATCCTTCGTATCTTCATGGAACAATTGAAAGGATGCAAGAATTTTTCAAGGAATGGAACATTATTGGAAGGAATTGGGTTCAGATTGTGTTTTGGACTTGAATGCTTAGGCCGTTCTGTTTGCGTCGGATATTATTTTTTTAATGCAACTGGAAAGAAAGTTTCATTTCATGGCTAAATTCTTTCTACTAGAAAGAAAATCGATATTGAGACTAAAGATTCGTATATGGCTGAAAAAATTGTCAAAGGATTTGAAAATGCATTTGCAGCGATATTTTTCTTGTTTATCACACACCCGTTGTTGAGACATACAATTTATTGGAAGCAAAATAAGGAGCATCTTAAAGCCCACGAATACTATGTGAAAAAAAGTAGAAAATACGCCGATCATTAAAACTAATTTGTTAATCGAGATAAACCTTGACTGATGATGCAAATACAGATGAGTCTATACTGACATTGTGTGTACATGTATTTTTATGGTCATCTTTTATCTGTTGCAGAATTTCTAACTAATTATTCTTTAATAAAATCAGACTGTGTCTGCCTTCATATTTATTGTTGAATATGTCGGTAGATATCCAGAGGTGGAAGCAAAATTAGAACTGAGATTAATTCGTTTTTTTCGGGTAATTTGAATCGTGTTGCCACGATGATTTGAACGAATTCAAATACATCGAGGCTGTATATTATGAAAGTAAGCCACTTCAATTTTATTCTTGAATATTTTATAACACTTTAAACTAACAAAATTTCATCAGCGACTCGTATCAACACAGCAGTGCCATTTATGTTCCGTACAAATCAATGCGAAGATGAAATAGCCGGATATCGATGGAAACCCGACACACAATTTGTGGTGAATTACTAAGCACCTCATCGAAACTAAAAATACTTTACCGACCCCGAAAAATTTATACCAGAAAGGTTTATCAATGATGGTAATGACGGAAAAAAAAATCTTCAAAAAAGCGTTTTATCCATGGTGGTGGACTACACATTTGCCCTGCGAGAAATACTGGACTCGCTTTTGTAAAGATGCTACTGATTATGTTGTATCGTAATTACGAGGTTAAATTGGTTAATGCGGATAAACCGATACAAACTTACCATGATTTTATTTCCCACTGTGCTGATACGAAGGTTTATTTGAAGCCTAGGATTGAATAGTTAATGGTATTTTCGATCGTATGTATAAGTGGCTACCTGTCACTTTATTCTCTTATTTCATTATCATGGCGTTGGGCGCTAGAAAACCATTTGCATGTATTAATAAAAAAATCGTAAAGCTCAATTAACTATGCTATTCAAAAATTAACAAGATTTTGAAGCCTCGAGATTTTTAAAAAATTCTCGTAATGCTCACTCTTTTTACATATTCTGTTTTTACTTCTCATCGGAGGTCTCTGTCAAAAGCAAGGTTAAATGGAACATCATCATAGGAAATAAGGTGACTCAATTTTTTAGCGCAATATTTTAAAAAAATCGCGAATTTACAGTATTCGCAGAGATGGAAGAACACTGGAAACTACTTGGATACAATAACGCTTTACTTTTATCCACATATGCAAATAAGTTTCAACAGATTTAATGTATGATTTAAGTGTTGGAAGGCGCTGCTATTTTATGCTGGCATATTTCAATTCCCTTGCAAATTCAGGAAAAAAGGAAATACCAACAGAAGAATTGAATTTTCGCGATGTTCAGATAAAGGAATTTTCAGTTATAGAAGCGTTCATATACTTTTTCACTTACCGTACCAAATGTTATATCAATCTCATGAAACTTGGCATAGATCTTATGAAAAAATTATTCGTCAACCTCTTGATCAACGAACACATAATGGTCACGACTCTAAATTAAAGTCGGATGCATTGAATCTACTTCTTGACTTGAAAGAAGAATCCGTATTGAATAAAAAAGACAATGGTGGTGACAATTATCGCATGGGTGAAGAAGATATTCGGGACTCATTACAAATATTATGGCATTTAATTAATGTTTCGTTTAATTGAGAGATTATCCTGATGGAATCCCACAGTCGGTATTTTCGGTTACATTATACCCGAAATTTTTGCGCAATTTTATTAAACGATAGGTAAAAACATTTTATACAATAAATGATATTTAAGTGAAATGATGAATTATTTTCGCTTAAACTTATTATACAGTACAGTAGTTAATATAAAATTAGAATAAATTAAATCTAAACTAATAAATTAAATAATAAATAATATTATTTTATAGTTAAGATATATTCTCAAAGTTAAAAGAGCAAGTTGAAAAAAGAAATTAGAGATCAAAAACTGATAATAATATTGAAGAACTTGTACAATTAAATATATCGAAGCGGTTCTAAGCCAATACACCTTGTTCTCTAGGATATTTTAAAGCCTATGATTTTCATTAACATCAAAGTCTTCCAGTTCCTTAGAACGAAGGATAGAATAACGGATAAAACAGGTGATCGACAAATTTTGATAAGTTATATAAATACATGTTCTTTAATCGAGTCTACCGGCGTATGACAAAAAAATATTATATTTCGGTTAACATTAGGATATTGTACAGTATCTTCCAAAATTAAATTAACAATGGAACAAACACTAGACCCGGAAATTTCAATTCTCGCTTACCAACTCACAGGAACGCTTCAGACACAACGATATCAGGGAACTATCACGATAACCGTCAACCAATGGATCGGAACAAAATTCAACACACACTTAATGTAAGTAGCTTATAGAGCTGTATAACAAAGCAGCCCGTATTAAAACGAAAACAAAGCTGCGGCGCAAACAGTTTGTTGACAACTCCGGGATACAGCCTAAGGTACAAATAAGACGAGTGTTGCTTATTCAACAACTCTGGGATACAGCCCAAGATACAAATAAGACGAGTGTTGCTTATCCACTCACCTTTATAATGACTCTGATATTATTTCTTCTTGTCCTCCGTAAGTCTTATTATAATAAATATACGAAAAAAAATGAAACCAGGTTCAGCGAGAAAACAAACAACTGTCACATGAGTAGCTTATATATGCTGTAGCAGAAAGCAGCTCGTACAAAACTTTGGCCAAACAGCTTGTAAAAACAACTCTGGGATACAGCCCAAGATACAAATAAGACGAGTGTTGCTTATTCACTCACCTTTATAACGACTGTGATATTATTTCTTTTGTCCTCCGTAAGTCCTATTATAATAAAAAATGAAACCGGGTTCAGCGAGAGCTTGCACAAATAATCGGCCATCATTTGTTGATGCTGCTGACGACGTCGTTGCTTTTGTCGCTGTTGTTGTTGTTTGTTGGTGGTGGTGGTAGTGGTTGGTAAAACAGCTGTTAGTATTGTCGCTGTTAAAGCTGCTGATGAACCACGTATATTGTGAACCCTCATGGGATCTTTTGTTGGATTTTAGTGGGGATGGGGTTTATGATTAATATGCTGTTTTATTCAACTCGTTTTATATGTATTTGAAAGCTATTACACGAAAATCATGTTCTTGTGAGTAAAAAATATTACGAATTGTTTACTTCTCCTGACAAAGTCACCTGCCACCAACCAATATTTATTAATAAAATAAAAACTTACTATATATACTATACATATAAATAAAGTATTAATACCAGTTTGTGCCATTAGTGAAATGATAAAACCATTACCCTAGCCACGGCAAAAAATAGTGTCGGATCATGTGATTTTTAAGGGTAAACCAATCAAATCGCAAGATAATAAATATAATGATAATAGTTGTTAATTATAATTAAGATTAGTAGGTAAGATTATATTCCACGTGACATTATACAGTATAACATTATAAAGCACCACTATAAATACTAAACTTTGCAATTCAAAGACAAAATTTCGAATTTTTTCCGTTACACATTGACCTTGCGATTTGATTGGTTTACCCGTTAAAAATCACATGATCCGACACTATTTTTGCCGTGGCTAGGGTATACCATATATAAAGAATTATGATTATGTGAAGATTTTATGTGAACTTCGAAAAACTCAAATCGATATCGATACTCAATGTGACTTTTTTTCACACGTCCGCCCGAATTCATCATTGCACATGTAATTACGATTAATAATTTCTATCGCTATTAAAACTATTTTTATAATACGATCATCATTATGTATTTCCATGATTTATATTAAGACTGTTAACGGCGCCAAGTTTTTATATATACATGCACAATATTATTTATATAGTGTCGATCCCCCAATAGTGTATACGTATCGGATTCTTTTGACACAAATGAAATAATAGCGTTGCCTTCCGCTCCTTATGTGCGTGAGAGCACCGTTAAACTCCCAGACATAATTTTTTTAGTATAAAAATAACTGTTAAAAAATGTCTTCACAAAACGACAAAATAAACGGCTTTGATACACCCGCAGATACACCTTCCCCTATTAACAATAGCAACGACGAAAATCCGGTATGCAATTGCAATATTGAAGCTGTCGTCGTCAAGTCGGCATACGTGGCAACCAGAAAACCGAGGTCGATATTTCTGGGGATGCGCAAAATATGGGACGATTTATCACGAGAATAAATGCAACTTTTTTAAATGGTTCGATGACGATTCTCCAAATTCTTCTGATAATGGCGGATATGGGAAAATGACAGCTAACCAACATTGCAACAATATTCGAGGCAATCTAAATAGTAATAGAAAGCGACGTGCTGAATTAGTCAAATAACCGCGGATCTGGAGGAAATTTAAACGATGATGAACATACAATTGCACAACAATCCCGCTGCGCCCGCCACTTCACTGCTACCACAAACAAAACGTCGTCACCTTTCATCGCAACCCTCATCACCAAAAATCGTATCGTCGTCATTATCTTCATTATTACACTCCTACGATAACATCCGATCGACATTACTCCACGCCTGAACTAGTCGAAGTTCTAAAGTATAACCTCATACGTCAAGAACGAGTTGCAAACGCACAAGAGCTATTGACGCGAATGCAATTACATCGTGTACAACAAGAGACGCAGAAAAAAGCAACGCAAATTTTTGTGATTTGAATATTTACATGTTTAATTCACTATAAATTTCCGTTAAAGGCTATTCTTTTTTAATTGATCGACCTCTTGTCTTGCCATTTCCAACTCCCTTTCCAACAACCTCTTTTCACCTATGAGGACTTGATTTTCCCTTCTCAATAATTCCATCTCTTCCTTCACTTCCTTCATTTTTTTCCACATAATTATCTTTTATTACTTTTTTATTGTTTTTTTTTTAATATAATTTATCGATATTGAACAAAAATCTAATATCTGATGTACACAGATAAGTTTAGATATGACAATCCTTATCGCTATTTTTGAATATTGTAACACCGTGAATGTTAGATCATGTGATTAAATTTTCTTTTCGAAGAAACCAAATATCTTTAGCTATCACTGTACATACTACTGAATCAGTAGTATCAGTAGTACTGATACTTATAATAAATGATCAATGTTTAAATAGCATAGCATTATAAAATCATTTCAAATTCTAAAGATTTACATACATTGATGTATGTCATTTCTTAGCACAGAAACAATGCACATCACAAATGGATAATATAGAACTATAAACATGAAAGTAGAGTTTTCTCTCATAAAAATGATTTAAATAAAAATTGAGTTATTAGATATGTATATTATAATGATTGCTTGTTTGACTTTCAAACATTATATTACATCGATATAAACACAGTTTTAAAGTAAACTCAAAGAGGAATCGGATACTCATAATTATAGTAAATGTCGTATTATCAAAGACTGAATACCGCTTTATTACAAACGAATTATAGCAATGAATTCTACAGAGGAGATAAAGATGTGACAATCTAATAAAAGAATGCAACAAAATTATTAAGAATATCGTAATGTACTGAGCGATTGCTTATAAATTAATCCAAATTCTTCTTTAGTAAGACATTCATCTAATAATTATTCCAGATGAGATTATGAATTGCAAAATTCAAACCAAATCACTATAGAGTTTACAAATGAGGTAAAATGAACATTTTCTAAATTGAAAACTTCTTGTTTTCTATACAATCAATTTTTCAAACACAGATTCAGACTGCTCTTTAATACAGACATGTTATTGATGATATTGTTATCATTTCAATGAAAAATCTCGTGATTACAGAATATGTGATACTTGTACATATACTACATGTACATATACTAAACTTCTTAATTTTGTACTCATAAGTACATGTAATGTATAACAAAAAACTTAAAAATAATTAATTAATATTGTCCCGCAATACTTACGCATAGATTCCAAAAATTCCTATCTTGTATATAGTATCAACATTAACATTGCTCTCCGAAGAGAAAGAAATTTCTACTGAAATTCATACCTTGCGCACCCAAGATATACTGAAAATTTTTACTTGTACATTTTCCCTTGTTGCGTGATCCATAATTATTATTAATTCGTAATAATAATTTTTCTTTATACATATAATTTACATTAAATCCCATTAGATTATTTTGTAATATACATATTATTTTTTATGAAAAATCCTTTACTCTGTGTTTTAATGGCCGCAAAATCTGTAATTAACGAATTGTAATTTAGGTGGCTATATGACAACAAAAACTGTATATATAGAATAACTTTCCAAGATAAGAGAAGGGCAACGTGAAGTTTGAAGAAAAATAATCAAATAAGATTATTTTAATTCTTACCTAACCATGTCTTGGCTTTAATTTCTTTGTGCAAAAACGAAATTAATAACTTTATTTCTTTGTGGGCTAACAAAATTTAAGGCTTTATCTCTTTTGCCACAAAAAGTTGATGCGTTTCTCTTGATTATTGTTTATTCAGCTATTTGTTTGGAATTTGCCCTTATTATTTTGGAACAAACCTATTTTTTTGTTTGAATTGAATATTATTTAAATTCTGTTTTAATTGTTTTTGTATATTTTTTAGTAAATAATTATTAATTTTGTTAATTGAATTAAATATTTTATTTTAAACTCTACCTTTGCCCTTGAGTGTACAATCTCTGTGAAAGATTAACACAGGAAATCTTTAGATGTAAATCATTCAGTCTAAGGAATGGAAAAAATAATAGAAAATGAATCAGAAAGATGTAAAAACTCAAAAAAGAATATGAATAAAGAAAAGAAGAGTGCAAGAAATGTTAGCATTATCATAAATATAAAATGAAAAATAAAATTTATTAAATTTTGTCACAATTTTTCCTATACAATCTAAAATTTGGTTTATATATTTCTGTTATATACGATTATTTATATTCCAAAAGTAAAAGATACACAATTACATCAGCGGATAGCAACTCAGCACAAGTGTCAACTAGTACTGCAACAAAATTACTAACACGAAGGAGGTTGAGATAGAAATAGAGAAAAAGAAAGAAAAGGGTAAGGAAAATGAGATTGATCCATCACCATCAAAATATTCTGAAGTAATAATTGATGGATCAAGTACAAATCCAAAGACAAAAAGATTACTGTGGATAGTAGCAATTCAACACAAGAAAAGGGTAAAGGAAAAGAGATTGATCCGTCACCACCCAAAGATTCTGAAGTAATGATTGATGGATCAAGTAAGGCGATAGCAATCCAATGAGGAAAAGATTGCTATCTAAAGAAAGTAAAGAAGATAACCCAGAATCAAAATTGAAATTTAGAAAGTTGGAGTATCCTCCTGGCTTTAAATATGAAAGGCAAGAATCTACTTACAGAGAAATGTATAAAATTCTCGCCCTCCTAAAATGAGCCATTTGCTAAGAAACGGTATGCTATAAGAAGGAGATTAACGTCACAAAAATCTCCTTAACCTTCGTCTTCAAAGGTTCCTGATACGGTTCCAAATGCTACGTCTATACTATCCAGTAAAAAAGATGAAGCCGCACAAATTCTACAAGTAAAGAGGTCTCATGATAAAATTGAAACTTCTAAAGATGAAGACAATTCAATTATTGCCGAGGCTGAGAGACCTAGAAATTAAATCACTTGACATCAGATAAGCGGGAGGAGAATAAAATGAGATCAAAGAATATTATTGGAATGATAAATACGGATACAAAATTAGCCACCGTAGAAACAACAACAACCGTTTCGGCACTTCCAACACCAATAAAAATACCGACTACTAAAAGAGAGAGATCATCAATGTTTTTAGCGCAAACTTTTCTTCAGATGAAGAAGAGGATACAGAAAGGAACGCTAATTTTTTACAAATGATAACTCAGCACCTTCAGATATTAGAAGAGGATTTCTGGATATGAATACATGTTTGCCTCAATGATCTCCTGTTGCTATTTTGGCATCTATTTTTTTTGTTATCTGAGAAGTATCAGTTTTCTCTATGTTCCTTATAATATACGTGGTTTAACATGAATGTGAAGGAGGAATGAAAATATCAGGAGTTTTTTAATGACACAGTAGGTCAAGTAGGTTAGGTTATGTAAATGAACAGTGACAATGTATATATGAAATGCAACATAATTATTTTCTCTAATATATTTATACGTTATTTTCTTTAATATATTTATACTTTTAAAAAATGTTTAGATGCAAGATTTATAATCTTTAATTCTGCGCATTCTATGCACAATCTTTAGGATCGGGATCAAATCACTTAAATCGGACAGATAGACACTAAAATTTGGTAGCACAGATTGTTCGGCAACTTTTTTTTACCAATGCGTCAAATTATATGTTTTGCGAATTCTTATCGTTATTTGCATGTGTGACCACACCCCATAAGAAAAAACTCTCCTTTTACCTGACTTATTGGTTGGATCTTTGAACCTGAAAAGACATAACATTGTGAGCATCATGAATGATTGAATATTGCGTATAATCATTGATTAGAATGTAGACTTCGTTTAATTTGGTTTATAAACATTCAGTGGCACACCAATTTTCATAAATATTGGAACGAGTTATCAGATACGTCAATGATTGAAATCTAATGCTCTCAAATACATTGAAAAAAATTCGAGAAAATAATATTTTGAATATCTGAGAACATAAAATTTGAATTTAGTTCTCTAATGGATAATAATTTGAATATGCATATTTATTTATTAACTAAAACTGTTTACATGTATATTACAAATTGATCAAGTAATAAAATATAGTTTTTCTTCAGTATATTACTTTTAGAACTAAAATAACACAAATTAATGTTTTCCAACATTGCCTGACGTTATTAGATTTTCTAATAACTTAATGATTTAAGTGTGGACGAGGTTACATGCAAAATTGGTATCCCGACATTTTTATACAGTATTCAAGACAAATTAAGTCATTTATATATATTCTCTTAATCTTCATTTTGTGTCGGATTTGTTTTGCCGAGTTGAGCACTCCTATTGGACATGAATCACATGATTGACCGGGCTTTAGAGCACCCCCAAAAATAGAAATTTTAATATAGAAAATGTAGAGGTTGGCCAGATGTAAAGAAATTGATAATTTATTGTTATAATATTAGAACAGAATTAAAATTTTAATCATATATTTCAGTTAAATTCGAAGAAACTAGAAAATTAAATTTAGAAAAACTAGAACAGCTATGATTATTGTTTTTGACATGTTTGATGTAAATGTCAATTTCAATGATGTCGATTTCAGTGTAAATGTCGGCTTTACTATCGGTTTCGATGATGATGTAAATGTCGGCTTTAGTGATGTCGTCTGGTATGATGTTGCAAATGTCGGCTCTAGTGATGTCGTCTGATATGAGGATGTAAATGTCGACTTTATTGATGTCGTCTGATAGGATGATGTAGATGTTGACTCTATTGATGTTGCCTGGTATGATGATGTAAATGTCGGATGTACTGATGTTGTCTGGTATAATGTTGTAAACGTCGGTTTCACTACTGTCGAATATGATGGGAAACAGCCATTAAGTACACAAGTATAACCTTCTTTACAACACTTTCCAGCACAATATACAGGATTAGGACCACAGGAAGCGCCTTTACATATGTAAGGAGGTCCACTAGTTGGGCAAATACTGTTTATAGGACAACATCCATAATAGCCATTGACAGGAGGACACAAGCGCTCATCGTTTGAACAAGAATCTCTTGCTATCAAAGATGAATTTCTGTAAACAGAACTCCAAAGAGCTTCTTCGTCTCTTTTGCATTTCAAGGAGATCGTGGCAAGAAGGAAATTTCCAAAGATGATAGTGAGCGCAAGTATTAAATTAAAATTCCTCATAGCGAATTTGAAAGTAATGAGTATTTGTGAATGTTGTGGTTCAATATATAAGGGAAGTGTCGTTTATATAGATGATTTGATTTACGCCTCTCCCTCCCCTCTTAAATATGTAATAAATGGCATGTCCCCCATTGTATGCAACATTTTTAATTATAAGGCTGATTTTACCAAATGAATTCTGTTATTGCTCTTTAGCGTGATGGTTTAGATTGCGTAAGAGAATATTTGTCCAATTATAAGGGCTGATTGGACTGCAATTCAGTTTATCAGAATTCTAGAATACTTTCTGTTACTGTATTTTTTTTGCGATGGATTTAGATTTCGTAGATCGTTAAATTTCAAATTCCTAATATGGTTTTATTCTGATAAACCACAAATTACGGGGTCCTCCTAATATAGAATATTGTTCGACCACCCTATTTGGAAATATGTAACCTTCATGTATCCATCCAATAAGGATGAGCAAACTTTATCGAAAGAATGCACAAATTTTTAATCAGCAGCACAAATTTTTAATCAGATCGGCAAAACAAATCCGACACAAGAAATAAATAACTTTAAAAAAAGGTGAATATTTCAAAGAAAATTACTGTCTAAATCTGTCTTGGAATACTAGTTAGAAATGTCGGGAAGACAAATTTCACATATAATCTTGTTGCTCTCTAATCCTGACCTTTACCCTGACCTTATTAAATCATTAATCGGAAAAATGTTTGGTTCATTTCCCAATGAGGTATTGATAATGACATATTTCCTAATTGGTTATATAAATGTGTTAGATGCAATAAAAGGAAATGCAATAATGACCGAGAAAGATCATGTTTCCGTACTGGTGATCATTAACGCCTTTCACCATTCTGATTCTGGCAATTGCCAGCAATGAGATTACACAGCAACAAATAAGATGCATAAATTTTTGGTCACAAATCTGAACAATAGAAACAAGTGCTTAAACCTAGCTTGGAGTACTAATGAAAAATGACAGAGGCAATTTTTTGTCTAGTCTTGATCTCAACTCTAACACTAAACCTTATTAACTAATCTACTCTTACCTTGTATGTGATTTGACTGTTCAATCGTCAGTGTCAGAAAATAGCGGAATTTTGCGAATGATTGAATATTACAGAATAATTAAAAATCTAACTACGAATGAATTGAATACTCAATAATAATGGATTATGCCAAAGATGAAAAATTGATTAGTATTAATGAAAAATTTTAAATTTTATTCCAGAAAACAGACCAACGTCTGATCTTTATAACTTTATTTTCTATCCAGAAGACAACTATGAACAGAATAATTTGCATTTCCAGTACTATAGATCTTTAGGATATCCTAAAACATATAAAGAAATTATCGAGTGTCTTAAAGAACTTGATGTCACAAAAAAAGCATTCCTAAGAATATAAGCAAAGAATAACCAAGTAAAGTTAATATCAAAGATCAAAAAGCGAATAATATAGCGTCCTATTGAAAACGGGTCGTAAGAACCAAAAAACGAGGAATATTTCATTTTATTGAAGTAGTTTTATAAAAACATTATCGTTATCATTACTACATGAACGTATCATTGCCATCGCAAAATAAAATCCATGTTATCTTGTGAAGTCGA